CTTGAATGTATTTTTAAGATTTAACTCCTGAGTTTAGTGTCAATTTAAGTATATGATCTACCCAAATACCAGATTGGTCTCTGTCATTGATTTACTCCTACTACATTAATGGATCCATGTTTTAGACTTCAAGTGGTTAGCTAGTAAGTTAGAGACATCTTGCAAGGAATGTTCAGTATTTAAAGATGTGTGTTATCCGCAAACACAGAAATTATTATCTTAATCCCAAACTCTTATATTTTTAAACGAGGTTCCAAACCTGACATTTTTAAATGCAGTCCTTAATTCTATAGATTTAGACAATTTAACCTGTAAATGACTTATACTATCACACGGGGGTGGACGGACAACACATGGGGCAATACAAGGTTATGGGGCCACCTTGTGCTCCACCCACATACAAGCCTCACTCGTATATACATTCTTGCAGACCCTGCATACCTCTTCCTAAACTGTTCACCTCTGCATCCCTGCATCCCTCTTCCTACATTTCTCACCCCTGCAACCCTAGCATCCCTCTTCCTACACTTCTCACCTCTGCACCCCCCCGCATCCCTCTTCCTACACTGCTCGCCTCTGCACCCCCTGCATCCCTCTTCCTACACTTCTCACCTCTGCACTCCCTACATAACTCTTCCTACTCGGCTCACCTCTGCACCACCTGCATCCCTTTTCCTACACTGCTTACCTTTGCAACCCTGCATCCCTCTTCCTACACTGTCCACCTCTGCACCCCCTGCATCCCTCTTCCTACACTGCTCGCCTCTGCACCCCCTGCATCCCTCTTCCTACACTTCTCACCTCTGCACTCCCTGCATCCCTCTTCCTACACTTCTCACCTCTGCACCACCTGCATCCCTCTTCCTACACTGCTTACCTTTGCAACCCTGCATCCCTCTTCCTACACTGTCCACCTCTGCACCCCCTGCATCCCTCTTCCTACACTGCTCGCCTCTGCACCCCCTGCATCCCTCTTCCTACACTTCTCACCTCTGCACTCCCTGCATCCCTCTTCCTACTCTGCTCACCTCTGCACCACCTGCATCCCTCTTCCTACACTACTCGCCTCTGCATCCCTCTTCCTACACTGCTCGCCTCTGCACCCCCAGCATCCCTCTTCCTACACTTCTCACCTCGGCACTCCCGGCATCCCTCTTCCTACTCTGCTCACCTCTGCATAACCTGCATCCCTCTTCCTACACTGGTTACCTTTGCAACCCTGCATCCCTCTTCTTACACTGTCCACCTCTGCACACCCTGCATCCCACTTCCTACAATGTCCACCTTTGCACCCCGGCATCCCTCTTGCTACACTTCCCACCTCTGCACCCCCCTTCCTACATTGTTTTTCAGGGATGCAGAGGTGAGCACTGTAAGAAGAGGGATGCAGAGGGTACAGAAGTTAACAGTGTTTTAAGAGAGTTTGATGTCTGATACCCCCTTCCAATACTGTTAACTTCGACACCCTCTACATCCCTCATATTACACTACTGATCCCCCTCCCCTACTCTCTGTCAAGCTGCTCACCCCCTGCAGCTTACCATATGGTAGGACTCCAACTGCCTATACCATCTGCTGTGGGTGGTGCATGGGGTGGAGCCAAATGTGCTGAGAGACAACGGTCCTTCGATCAGCACAGCCCAGACAGTGGACGGTCTCGCCCACTCGCCATGGTAACAAGCTGATTGACAGGCTCCTCTTCTCCTTCTATGCCAATCACTCTAAAAGAGAGCAAATTCCCTGGTTGCTAGCGGGGTTCCACAGAACTAGTGTCCCCATTGAAAGTTTTCCATCTATCCCTGTTCTGATAACAACCCTAACGGAGACCCAGACAGCAATAACAATCTGACAGTTGTTGTAATCCCTCTCCACTCTATCCAAAACTAAAAAAATAATAATTGAGGGCTATAGTTGCAAGTTATTTGGGCCTGTTCATTTATTCGTTAAAAATTGAACGCTAATACTTGGAGATATCAATCCTTAGGAAGCTGTACCTATAAATTGCCACCAAATGTGCAATGTTAAAATTAATGTACAATGTTCAAATTAACAAATTATTTTGTGTTGCAAGCTGGCTTGTTCTTGTTTTTTTATATTATACGTTGCTGCCACCTATTGGCCTTTCAACCAAATTACATATAGTACAGGGGATAACTGAAAAAGAGTGCATAGCACAATTTTCTGTGTGGCTAGTCTACTAAAATATACACTGAGTGACCAGATTATTATGACCACCCCATCAGTACTTCGTTGGGCCACGAGATGGCTCCACGAGATGACTTTGTTGGGCCGCCTCGTGACTCCACGAGATGATGAAAGGTGATGCGAGGAATCTGATACTGCACTGTTGCCCTTCTGTTGTCTTGTACCAGTCTTGCCACTCTCCGTTCTGCCCTAACATTGACTAGTCACTGACGGCCACAACTCGCACGTTCAGACCCAGATTTTCGGCTGACAGTCCAAGACGAAATTTCGTTGCAGCAAAATTACATTTTAATTGTTTTTTTTTTTAGTTTGCAGATGAAAAAAAAAAAAAGCGTGAGGTTCCCCCCCAATTTTTACCA